CACCGGGCTCGGCGGCCTGGCCCGGCGACGCCGCCCGCGGCCCCTTAGCCTCTCTGCCTTTGCCCTGTTTCTGCGCCTCGGGGGCGGAACTGGGCAAACGAAGGACAGAATCGTGGCGGTGCCGTGCCTGCGCGGTGAGCAGGAGGCTCCCGGCGTTAGCCTTGCACAGTCCCCAGGTCGCTCGGGATCGCTCCGGAACAAGCTTGTCCGGGCGTGGCGCGCGGCTTCCCAGGTGATTCCAGTGAGCGGCCGAGTTGGGGAACGAGTCGTGCCGACAGATTGCTGCACTTTACCCAGGCCGTCTTCATTTTGCCGTTTCTGCAGTTGTAAGGTGGGGATAATCGTGGAGAGGATTGATGAATGAGCGTGGAAAACGGGCAGCAACCACGGTGTCATTGTTACTAGAGCTTGTCGCTTTTTCCACTCCTTTATAGAGGTGTCACCTTTATAAGGGATCTGTCGCCTTTAGCTTACAAATCCTTTAGCACAGTGAGGGCGTCCCAGTCATGCTTTTTTAAATTCCCAACGGGAAAGATGTGAAACTTTTTTACTTCAGAAGAAAGGCCTTCATAGCGTTTGCCTGTTAAGTAGCAGCAAACTAGCAAATGTTTTAGCGCTTACTACATATAAAGCATTGGTGATAATTTAGTTCGGTGTTTTTAAGAATATTAACAGTGAGCTGGGTGTTTTTGAACATGCCTGTAATTCCAGCGCTGTGGAAGGCTGAGGCAGGAGGATGCCAAGTTCAGCACAGCCTGGGAAACTTTGCCGGACCCTGTCTCAAAATAAAGTGCTGGGGATGTAGCTCAATGTGCAGGTTCTGGGTTCAGTCTCCAGTATCAAAAAAATACATGTGTGTCTCTGTGTGTGTGTATTAATTATGGATGTTCGGGAGTCATTGATGGGTGTGCTTGTAATACTTTCTTCCTATAAGTTTAGAAAAAGTTGCTTTTCAGAGTATACATTTTTTAGAAAGTGCTTTGTGTTGCAGTGCTGTCTGGGTATACTGGTTTCCCTTGCTTAAGGAATTGCTCGGTGCCAGTGCCCCTTTTTGGGTAGTTACTGTCACTCTTTAGGTCCTATGCCTGCATCAGAACCCTTGTGCTCTTGAACTTTGGTTAAGAAGGTTTCGTGCCTTGGAGTTCCCCAGGAGCATGGACTCTGGACCAGGCCCAAGCCATCCTGGGAGATCTGAGTAGCCCCAAAGGTTCAGGGTTTATTCAGAGAGAGGAGCTGAGGGGATCTGATCAGAACGCTTCAGAAACTGACTTCTTGGGGCTGGGGATTTAGCTCAGCGGCAAAGCGCATGCCTGGCAAGCGCAAGGTCGTGAGTTCGGTTCCCGGTACCGGAGAAAAACCAAAAAAAAAGAAACTGACTTCTTAAAGAAGCCATAGCCTGGGCCCAGTTTGGAATTAGACATCCTGAGAAGACTTTGTTCCGTGCAGGTCCTTTGTTGCCTTCCTCTTGGCAGTGATCCCTTGGAGCTGACAGACCACCCCTACCGGCAGTGTATGACCTGGCAGGGAAGGAACTCTCCAAGTGATGTCTGTTTTCTGATTGGTAGACAGCTCTAAACGCTGATGTTCGCTTCAGGTCCTCAATTTGCTGTATGATTATTAGTAAGGAAAAGAAAAATCACTTAATCTGTTTTAGTAAATGCCATGTTCAGCTGAGTCTATGTTACATATTTGCATATTTTTGCCTTGCTGAGGAAAGATGAAATTAAGTGCAGCAGTCCTGTATTATAGGGGTCCTGAGGCAGTAGCCTTCCAAAACTATCACATTGGACCTGGTGTTCCTGTAAGACTGTGGCAGAGCAAGTGTTCAGTAGCCAGCACAGCCGCTTTCTAAAATAATTTTAAACATTCAGTGTTCAGATTGCCCTGAGCAATCTATCTATGACCTTGTGATTTTCTGGGTTCTTTCAGAGGCTGCTTTTACTCTTCAGCTACACAGAGCAGTGTCCTCTTCTTACTGTGTCCTTCATTTTTAGTTTCTGAAAATTCATGTATCCAGAGCTTAACTCTAGGAAAACAACCAAATTCCCCTCCTCCTTTCCCTCCTCCCTTCCAGGTGAAACTGGACTATTCCTTATCAGCCTCATAACGGAATTCACCTTAGTGATTAAAACTAGTCCAGCAAAACAATAACTTTCTTACCTAGAAATAAAATGGTGTAAACTGGGCTTGGTGGAGTATGCTTGCCTATAACCCCAGCGCTTGGAAGGCTGAGGCAGGAGGATTGCCATGAGTTTGAGGCCAGCTTGGGATATAGAGTGAGTTCGAGGTCAGGCTGCACTACATATCAAGACCCTGTCTCAAAAAACAAACAAGAAGAAATAAAATGCTTACATTTGTGGGATAGATTAGTGATGGTCTGGCAGCCACTCTTCTCCGTGGACATGTGGCTTTTGTTTTTGCAGTACTGGCCTTTGTACATGCCAAGAAGCACTTTACCACTGAGCTGTGTCCCAAGCCCCTTGTAAAGCTACTCTGAATTTTTATTCATCGTGACAGTCACATCACTTCTGAGACAAACTTAATACTGTGGTTATATCACATTCTTTCTGCCCTGAGAGGGACGGTGGGTCAGCCCAAGGCCTTGGAACTGGCAGGCTTTGGTACCCAGCCTTGCACAGAGTCATCCCCTCACTGAGTCATCATTTGCCTTGACTCAATTCTTAGATCCTTTTGGAGGTTTCACTCACAACTTCCAGTTTTTTAGGGACTGACTTGAGCTCTGAGGGAAGCAATGTATGAAAGCACATACTTCAAATTCACTTGTGTCTTTGGTTTTTACCTTTGGGGCAGTTATGACCAGAGGCCTCAAGACTGAGGTGTTCAGGCACACAAAGCCCTTCAGGGAACTGAAAATCAGATTTACCAAGGGTTACAGCTGCCTGTCACAGGCTGGCATTTCCTGTGTGTAATGCTTCGGGTTCCTGTGGTTAAGAATGAAAAATCTGTTTATTAATTTTTGCAACTAAAGAGTGGATATTGCCCCCTCAAAACTACCACTGTCCCCAGCCTCCACCCCTGTCTAGAATCTTCATTTTCTTTCCTCCCCTCCCATAATGTCAAAACCTGCTTAGAGGAGAGGATTCAGTAATCGAATTCATAGCATGGAGTTTCACCTGAAATGTTGACCTTTCCAGAACTTTTCTTTTTTAATGGGGGGGAGCCCATCAGTGTCCAACCTGATATAATATTTTCTAAATTCTTGCTAAGTGCCAGACACTCAATTAGGTGCTCAGAAGTGTCCTTCATAGAAGTTTAAAGGTCTGAGAGGCTATATGCTCAATTTCTCTTTCTTTACTACTCAGTGGGTGTATACTGGTGGGTGCTAGGGCTGCCATGTTGACTGAAACACCTCTTCCTCAGAGCAGAGGGAAGTGCTTGTTAAAGACATTGGTCGTGGTTATGTGAGCCCAGAGGAAAGAGTTGCTGGGTTTGGGTGCAGTTTCACAAGGCTTCAAAGAGGAAGTGTCCTCTAAACTGGGCCTTGAGGAATTGGGAGGGATTGTGATAAATTTGGATAAGGGCTTTTCAGAGATGAAGCCGGAAAGGGATTGATCGATAATAGAGACACGTTAATGCTTTGCGTAATTACTGTAATTAATTTATCAAATATTTATGGACTGCTTGCTTTGTGGCAGTCTCTCTTCTAGGTGCTAGGGATTTAGCAGAGTACAACCAGATAGCATTAAGGTTCCTGCACTCATCCTAGTGGCAGGAAGGGAGTATCTTGGAAGGTTGTAAGTGCCGTGGCTAAAGCTCAGGCTAAGGGAGGAGAGGCCTACACGTGTTTCTGGAAAAATACTCCTGTGTTTCTGCAAGAGTAGCTTGGGAGGCAGTGATGAGATCAGAGAACAGGGAGATGAGGCTGTAACTATGGACCAGGTAACAGACAGCGAGGCATGCTGATAGATATTCAGAACAAGAAAGGATGTGATGAGCAGTGACCGGTTTGTCAACAGTGACATGTGGGAGATAAAGAAGGTGCAGAAATGGAGAATGTTGATTTGGGAGTATTTGAGATAAATGATGGCGTACAGCAACATAAGCAGTGAGAGTGGGTTTGAAGGAGAAGGAAGGCTTGACAGTGAATTTGACATCAAGCAGTTGGAAATTGACATTTTGCAGAAAGGTCAGACTTGGAAGTGGTATATTTGGGATTAATTAGGGGAAAACTAGACTAAATTCTCCTTTCTGAGTCTGGGTGTTTTTATATTAATCTCTCAGGCTGGAGAGCTTAGGGGTCATTTTCACTTTTGCCTTGGTTAATGCTTTCATTATTTGGTTATTTTGAGTGTGTGTGTGTGTGTGTGTGTGTATGTGTGTGAGAGAGAGAGGGAATTGATAAACACTAATGTGGAAAATACTTGAATTTGGATTTACAAGCAATTTAGGTTAAAGTAATGGAAGCATGAACATAGTTTAAAGGAATTGAGTCTTATGACAAAGTACGCTAGCTCATATGTTTTTGTGGTATTTTAAAGCAATCATCTGCCACCTTTCCTAATAGCTGATGATGTAGGCAGTTGAAAATTGAGGTACAATAAAAGAAATAACACTCAGGTCACTCCACGTGGTTGAATCAGCTAGATCTCACCAGTCACCGTATGTGCCGTGCATCTTTCAGTCATCATCATCTCTTCCAAACAGTTTTGCGAATCACCTCCGTTTCTTAGTGCAAGGCCTCCATTTAAGTATTTTCTCCAGAGCTTGAAGAAATAAAATATGCTGGTGTCAAATTAAGGCACATCTTAAGAACCATCTAAAAATAAAATTATTGAACTGTTAAAATGAATTTGAGGTTTAGTACTTAGAACATGAAAGTGTGCATTAGTTATCATTATGAAAAATAACCTTTGGACTCACTCAGGTCTCTATATTGATATACTCTTATGTCTTCCAGGGGGCATGCAGTGTTAGGAAGAAGATAGGAATTGGGCAGGGAAAGCTGTTTGTAGGAATTAGTGCATTAGTAACCTCTATTTTTATTTCAGGTTTCTCAACCTTCATAATAGTGATAATTTTTATTATACATTTCATTTGAATTAGCACTGTTTCCTACAAGGCCACCAAAGTCATATTCGGAATTTTATTTAATTCTTGGCAAATATTTGTGGTTGCGTATAACACTACCACTTTACGTTTGTGAAAACTGGGGTATTCCACCAGATCAGTTCTTCTCAGTGTATCATGACACTATGGGTCACTAAGTAAACTATGGGTGAGTTTCCAGCAAAGGATCAGTGTGAGAAATTTAAATTTCATGTCAGAAGAAAACCAGACTACTGGGTGTGGTGACACACACCAGTATTGTTCTGGGGAAGCTGAGGCCGGAGGGTTGCCAAGGTTCAAGGCTAGGCAACATAGTGAGTTCAAGACCAGCCTGGACTACATAGTGAGACCCTGTCTCCAAAACAAACAAACAAACAAACAAAAAAAAACCCCAAAAAGTAAAAAATAAAACTGGTTACTACTTTCAGTTGACTTCCAGGTTTTAAGAATGTATTTCATTTTGGTTTTTTTTTAAAACTTTATTTTAAAGTATATCTAACCTCATTTTTTTAATCTTAAGATAATAGTAATAGTTGTAACCTTATGTCCTTTTCTCTCCTGAACTTTCATGATAGTTTCCAGTTTCCCTAGAGCTACTTTGTTTTCTCAAATAGTTTCTTTTCTGAATTTTGGCACATTGGCAATTTATTTGGAGAAGGTCTGAGAAAAAAAGTGTCCAAAAGACCATTTTTGTTGTTAAATTTTTTTTCAACATTTCAAATGTACACAAAAATCCAAACTATAATCCTATGTATCCGTTACTCAGACCAGTTTCAGATATTTCCACATTTACTTTCTTTCCCTTCATTTATAAAGTCATTCTCAGCCTGCTGTCCTGTACATCCATTTGCTTTGCTGAAAAAGAAAAGTTACTACATCAGTGCAGTGCCAGTATCATAGCTAACAAAATTAACACTAATTCCTTGATATTATCAATTATCCAGTCCATAATGAGATTTTCTTGGTTCTTACAAATTTCTTTTTACAGCTGGCTTGTTCAGATCCACGTCAGATAAGTTCCACACGTTACATTTGATAAAAGCCCAATTTTTAAAACAGATGGCTGTGAAGGAGCCGCATGGGGAAGCTCTTACTGAATCTTGTAGCAGGTTTGTTTTCAGTTTCCTGTAGCGTCCTGTCCTCTATTATTCCAGACTATTTTTTCCTTTTGTTTTGTTGGGGGATGGTGGTGGTAGTAAAAGAGGGAGTCGCAGACTGGGTCTGTTACAGTTGAGTCACAGGTTTATTTTAGAAATACGTATTTGAAATGCCAGCCTAGAGGCTTGCTAGCTGCAATGTAAGAGTGGTCGAAAAGGATCTTAGTAATTCCCTTTCACACCTAACTGTATAGTGTCTCAGAGCAGTAAATCCTAGAAGTATTTTGGGTGTGATGCACTGCTGTGTATAACTATCCTGGGAATGTACTTACCTGACATGGAACAATGGAATTCCTAGCTCAGATTTTGGCGTAGAAATTGTAGAGTATTGCTATAAAAATACCTTTCCCTAGCTTCTGTTTAATTCTTACTTAAACTGGATTTGCTAGTTTCCAAGTTAAGCTTGGAAATTTATATTGTTTCTCTGGGATGGATGAAATTTTTGTATACTTTCCTAGACTCATCTAGAGAGGTATGCAAATTAGTTTTATATTAAAGAATTGCTGAATCTTTTGAAACTGTAGAGAAATTAACCTCATCAGTACTTTATAAAATGCTTTGTACAAAATAGGAATTCCTATTTGTTTAAACACAACATTTGGTCAGAAATCCCTTTCTTGTGCTTAGCTAGGCATCACTGACAAAAAGAGATAGAATCCTGCGGCAGTTGTGCATGCACAGTTGTGCAGGCAGCTCACTGTACAACGCCAGGGTGAGGCATTTATTCAAGAGTAGGCTCAGACCTTAGAACTGGTTCTGCCTGATAGCTTTAACGTGTCTTGAGGAAGGAGCTCCATCTCTGTAGATATGGGTGTTTGTTGAATTAATTTGAAAGAACATGTACAACATTATCTCAATTTGTGAGATGTCTCATAATTTCACAGTCTCATTCACTTATTGCCATGCTGTGTTATCTGAAGAGTCTACAGTCAGCTGAAAATAAATTACAGTCTGTGAACACTGTACTTTGTTTAGAAGAGCCTGTGAATTTTATATGTGCAGTGGTAGCCAGTTTGTATTTTCTAGTGTAATCCTTTTTTCTTTTTTTGGTTTTCTGAGACAAGGTCTTGCTGTGGAGTTCAGGCTGGCCTTGAACTTGCTATGTAGCCCATGCTGGCTTCAAACATGTGACAATCCTCCTGCCTCAGCCACCTGAGTGCTGGGATTACAGGATTGTGCAGCCACGCCCGGCTCTTTAGTCTAATCCTTTAAAAAACAGCATATAGAAGGAAAAGAGGCTGGAATAGCTAGCAGAAGCAGATCAGCTGACCAGTAGCAAAGACAGAAAATTTATTTATTTTCCTTTTTGGTTTTTCTTCCAGTACCAGGAATCGAACTCATGACCTTGCTCTTGCCAGGCAGGCGCTGTGCCACTGAGCTAAATCCCTAGCCCAAGACAAAAAATTTAGAAAAATAAACACAAGTGCTCAAATAAACACAAACCCACCAGAGATTGGTTTCAGGTTAGCACGTGAAAATGCACTCCTACGTCAAGGTATCTTAGGAAAGTTGTCTGGCTGCAAAGCAAGGTGCAGACAGGTGTTTATAATAACAATTCAGGGTTAATGTTGAATGCGCCACCCCAGATCCTTTTAATGGGAAAATTTTGCAGTGTATTTTAGGAAGCTTTTTTAAAATAATGTTTTAAAAATGTAGGTGCTTAAAGATATTTGAGTGCCTGGGATGGTGTGTACTACTTAGTATGTACTTACTAAGGTATGCTGCTTTATTTTTGTATATTTATCTTTGTTACCTTTCAAGTTCACTTACATGAACTGGTACTTTTTCTAATGATATCAGATTGTCTTAGTTACTTTTCTTGTTGTTAAGATAAAATACCTAACAACCAAAATTAAAAAAGGAAAGGTTTGTTTAGCTCACGGTTTGTAGAGGTTTTGGTCCGTAATTGCCTGCCTCCAAGGCCGGGTGGATGGCAGACAGGCATGGAAGAGGAGAAACAGAAACAGTTCATGGTGAGCAGGAGGTAGCAAAGCAACAACGGAGCTCTTTCTACCCCTTATATCTTATGCAGGCTACTTAGGGCGGTAGCACTCGCACCCTTAATTCTAGTGCCCTTGATCCTACCATTGTACTGTGAATCAATTCCAGTGTCACACACTAGATCCAGCCACTTCTGAAAAACCTTACTTATGCATGAAGTTTTGCAGGGGGTGCATCTAGACACAAGCCATAACAGATAAATTAAGGTTTTTATTTATTGTTTTTCTCTGCTGACGTTTAGCAGTTTCTTAAGAAGAGATTTTGGAAAAGAAAAAATAAAAATTCCTACTGATTTTCCATTTATGGTGTCTGACATATAGTAAACATTCAGATATTTGTTGCCTTACAGGTGCTTAATTCTTACTTTTAAAAAATTAGCTTATGGCACCTAGAATTGTAACAGCTATGAGACCTTGTAGTTGAACATCTCCTGACCTATAAAAATGTATTTTATGCTTATTGAATTATAGGCTGAAGACTTTAAGTGACAAGTCCAGAGAAGTGAAAGTCAAAAGCAAACCCAGGTAAGCTCATGCTAAGATTTCAATTTAACATCAATGAAGTTTCATACAATTTTTGGTTGTATACATAATTGTAAAATTACTCTGGGTTTTAGATTGAGTACAGTACATCTGACTACAAAACAATTTGTTGATTCTAAATTGGTAACATAGATTTTTCTGATAAAATTGTGTACTGGTTGAAAAAGTCATGCAGTGTGTTGTTTTTTAGTCTGTAAGAACGAAGAGCTGTTGTTTGATCACAGTTAACTTTTTACATGTGTATATTAAGACCAGTTTAAGCGGCCTGCATTATTGAGAGACAGATGAATAATGAACAGGACTTGGCAAGTGAGTTTCCTGAGCTGTGTTACCTGTTTTACTATGAAAACACCAGAACTGTTCATTTTCCCCAGTTTTTTAGTAAAGCATAGTGTGGCCAGATTTCACTTCTTTTTTTCCCCCGGTACTGGGAATCGAACTCACAACCTTACGCTTGCCAGGCAGGTGCTGTGCCACTGAGCTAAATCCCCAACCCCCAGATTTCACTTTCAACCTGGAGATGGTGGGCCTTGATCATGCATATTTATTCTCTTTGTCTAGCGTGGTGCTAAACTGCTTTTTGTATTATTGTGTGCTCAAAATACAAGTCTGCAGGACAAGGGGACAGGTGAAATACTGTAGTACATTAACTCAGAATGAATACATTTTTCTAAAAATTCAGATAAATTGTCATTAGTTGTTTCAAAATCTTACAATTGCTGATGACAATTCTTATATGTAACTTTTTAAAAGTTTGCTAAATTAAAAACATTTTTAATAAAATAAATGTTTCTTTCAGCAGGACGAGGTATTTGCCAAAGTACTCTGCCGGACTTGAACTACTTAGCAGGTAAGTGCTTTCCTTTAAAAAGCAAGTGAATGTCTAAAAATATTTTATAATTTTAAAGATAAACCTTAAAACATGGCTAGAATACTTTATAATTTTTGTTGTAACTTGACCAAAGCGCCACCATCCTGTTCTGTATGCGCCACTTCTCTTCACCCTCAAGACACCTATTATACCCATAAAAATCCCCTGCTAAAAATCCCCTGCTGCAGTTCCCAGGCAATGCAAAATCACAAGAGCCAACTTGTTAACTCAGTGTCCTTGTGAAAATGTCAGTTCTGAGAACTATGACCACCAGATGTACATAACATCCTGCAAAAACAAGATCTGGGGGGCTGGGGATTTAGCTCAGCGGCAAAAGCGCCTGCCTGGCAAGCGCAAGGTCATGAGTTCGGTTCCCGGTACCGGAG